GCTAATTTGAGAGGTGAGCATGCTCAAGGCTCTGAGTTTGATCCCCAGCACCATAAAAAACGGGGGGAAAGTAATGATTAAACATAGAAATACTTTTGAATCAGAACGTACTCAAATCTAATATTTCAACTCAATAACTATTTGTAGAGTACCTGGTATGGGTAAAACAAAAAGGTGCACTCTTGAACTTACCTAATAGTATAAAAATAGGGCTGGGGATGTGGCTCAAGCGGTAGCGCGCTCGCCTGGCATGTGTGCTGCCCGGGTCCTATCCTCAGCACCACATAAAAACAAAGATGTTGTGTCTGCCGAGAATTAAAAAACAAATATTGAAAAAAATTCTCTCTCTCTCTCTCTCTCTCTCTGTCGTTAAAAAGAATACATTTTTAAAAAATAGTATGAAAATATACTCAGCATTCAAACCAGTCACCCTTTGCATGTAAAATATACTGTAACTAGATAGATAAATCTTATTTATCTATATTCCAAGCAGCTAGCATTTAATATGTGTTCAATGTTTGTTAAATAAAAAATAAGACATTGGGCTGGAAATGTAGCTCAGTGGTAGTGTACTTGCCTAGCTTGCATAGGCCCTGAGTTCTATCCCCAGCACTAAGAAAAAAAAAAAAAAAAAAGAGAAAGAAATAAATTGTTTAAAAAAAAAAAAAGTGGCTCAGTGGCAGAGCCTAGCATGTATGAGACACTGGGTTCAATCCTCAGCACCACATATAAATAAATAAATAAACAAATAAACAAATGTACATCAACAACCAAAAATATTTTTTAAAAAGTTAATCAGAGTAATAAAGAATATTCCTTTTGTTGTTGTTGTTATCAGAAATTGAACCCAGGGGTGCTTAACCACTGAGCCACATCCCCATCCCTTTTTAATATTTTATTTAGAGACAGGTCTCACTAAGTTACTGAAGCTGGCCTTTTATTTAGAGACAGGTCTCAGCTAAGTTACTGAAGCTGACCTCAAACATGCAATCCTCCTACCTCAGCCTCCCAGATCCCTGGGATTACAGACATGTGCCACAGTGCCCAGCTGAGATTGGTCAAATGGAGGAAAGACCTTGAACCCTGGTTTTCAATGGATAGGGAACATGAAAAGAGATGGAGAGTGACAATAGTTGGGTAAAAAGTTGGAGATATTTTTGGTCTCCATATGTCTGATGCCTTAGACATCTAGAAGGATGTCTCATTAGAATAATAATGCAACATAGCATAGAGGCTAAGAGCAGGCTCTACAACTAGGCTGCCGAAGGAAGAATCCTGATTTCTTTACTAGCTTTGTGAACTCAGGCAGGTTTCCTAACCTCTCTATGTCTCAGTTTCCTTGCCTATAAAAATAAGACATGTTGAGTATTAAATAGATTAATACTTGCAAAGCTAATATTGCAATACTTGCAAAACAATGCCAAGCTCCTATTAAGTATTGTATCAGTGTTTGGCAAACAAATAAACCTGCAAATGTAGTTAGCTCATATCTTAGCACCCTATAGTTTACAAATCAACTTTGGTATACATTACCTCAAAAAATTCTCACAATTCTGAGGTAGGAATCATTACCTCCATTTTACATTTCATGAAATAAAGTTTACTGGTGCCAGGGGTGTAGCTCAATCCCCAGCACCAAAAAGGAAAGGAAAGGAGGGAGGAAAAAGGAGGGAGACAGAGAAAAAGAGAGAAGTGAGGAAGAGAAGAGAGGAAAAGACCGGAAGAAAAGGAAGGAGGGAGGGACGGAGGGAGGGAGGGAAAAGAAAATTTCCTAAGTTTGTTAAGTTTATGACTTTGGGACAAAGTGGATCATAAAGAAAAATGAATATTTCATCTTTTATTTCTATACCTTCTTCAAGGGAAAGAGGTCAACACTTTTTTTTTTCCTGTTTCCATGGTAAAAAGCAAAGTGGTTAATCTGTAATTGTTATTTGATCACTGATAATAAGTAGAACATCTTCCACTGAAGTACAATATGTGCAAAAACAAAACATGTGTTTGTACATGTGTTTTTATGATATGTAGGATATTGCATGTTTTTCTCTTAAGAATGTTTATGTATTGATAAATCTTTTATTGCTAAAGACATTTAGGGAACAATATTATGTTCATACAGATCAGTTTTAATGGTGGCTGTTACACATACACTCCAGTTTCTTAGACAAAATTCAGACGGAAGCTCATTGTAGATTCTGGATTGAGTCTTTTCCATCTTTMCAGAAAATACCTACATCTGGAGTTATGTAAGAAGTTTGGTTTCTGCTTTGCAGTTATTGGTATTTCCTATTTTAAATAGGATAGTATGCATAAGCAGTAATTTTCAGGATAGCTGGATGAACCAGAGAGACAGACTTAACTTCCTCCTTGGGTCCTGGGGTTCTGGAAACTGCAGAAGTATCTATATAGACTTAGGAGCTAGGAGCTGGACTGTCTGGGATGAATCCCAGCTGTCAATTTTCTAGATGTGTGATGTTATTCAAGAAGATAAGTCTCTCTCTGTGCCCTTATTTACAACATGTAAATGATGACTTTGTTGGGTTGGTGAGAAGATTACATGAGTTAATGCATGGGAAGCACCTAGAACAGGCATGGCTCATGGCAAGCATTCAGTAAACATTAGTTAATAGCATCATGTTCTATTTGTGTAACTCTCATCATTCTCTTCTCAAGTCAATAGCTTTCAGATATGTTTGCCGGTGACCTTCAGTACAAAATATTTTCTATATCAAAGTCCAGTACATACACACATTAAAAACAAATTGAGGTTTCACAAAACATTCATACTCTTACTTCGTGCATTGTATCCTCTTAATTTCTATGTCCCTTTTTAAAAAAATGGTGGGGTGCCCTATTGAATTGATTTCACAACCCACTAAATGGACCAGTTTGAAAAACTCTGCTCTATGATGCCGAAGTCTGGCTGGGCACAAAATCACGAGCCACTCACAGCCTTGTAGATTCAAACAGCAATTCTTTATTCCYGAACTCACACCGGCACTCCACACATGTTCTGGGGAAATCCAYGTTCTGGCAAAATTCACGTACTCCACCAGGCTCTAATCAGCAGGATACGCCCTATTCCTTTGGCAGGGTACACCTTAAACCTGGAACCGCCCTAAACCCAAGGAGCGGGATACTCCCTAAAACCTGATCTGCCCTAAACCCAGATCCGCCCTAAACCCGGATCTGCCCTGGTCCTTGAGCAAGGTCACCTTACTCAAACATACATGCAATGTCACTGCAAATGTCCAAGGCAAGTCCAATTCCACGAGTCCTTCCTCTAAGCAACATGGGGTACGCKGGCAAGGAAATTGTCATACCTACTTGGCTAATGGCTCTCAGCACTATGATACCCATGAGAAACAGAATAATGTACCCCTAAGATAT